AATGTTGAAGGAACTTCCCAGACATGAAAAAGTTTTATCTTTCACATAGCCCATTGACATTCTAGTTGCATTCAAGGAAACACGTACTATCTGCTAGGCATAGTACCTGTGTAACACTTGGCGCCCAGGTTAATTGTTACCAGACAGGTTTACGTGGAGGCACTTTTTGATGTCTATATCTTTTAAGTGACATTACCTTATTTGACGCTAAATCTTAGTTTCAAAATGGAAACAAAATAACTTGCCATGTGGACATATTTATTTTATTTTATTTTCGTCCTGTAAATGATACATTGGTGGCTGAGCGAAATCGAGAACGTTTATATTGTGCGCCGCCTTTGCCTTGTTCCGAAAAAGTACCTGTAAACTACCTACGTGTCGGCTCACCCTTTGGTTGTCTTTTCACTTAGTAATGATACTTGAAAACTTGCTCGTCCTCTTTTTTGTATACCTTATGATTTAAATATTTATCCTTGGGTTACGTACTTGCTCCATACGGGGTATGTATACACAATTCAATATAGTTCATCAGGAAATAAGGCCCAATTGAAAGATTACCGACTGGACCAAAGTTAACATCACCTTAAACACTTTCTTTATAGAAGCAAAACCAAATAAGATCACTCTAGCAAACCCCTATTGAATTACTATGTATACCGTCAGTATGACCCGCCTGGGGATCTGTTTTCTGTTGGATCACCTGAAATCGCTTTCCACAATCCTGGTAAATGTTTAAACTGAATTTTCTCAACTGCAATCAGAAACCCGCTGATAGGCGAAGGATTGGTTAACATGGACGTGACGTCACGAAAGGTCCAAGATCCCGGCATGTTCTTCACACTTGAATATTTCGCTCTCCCGATTAGAGTTGGAAAATGTTGCAAACTAAGAGGGTTCGATGATAATTATGGCAAAAGACCTGGATACTCCTCAACAACTTCAGCCCCGCTACCGTGCCAATACCTCATCCATTGTAGATACCTGTGCTATTAATATTACAGCTGCCGTGCCAGCTTCCTAGACGTAAATAACTCATGCCCAGGTTTTTTCAACGGCAACAGTCGCGGACACAACAACGAGTCAGGGAGCGCGAAACTGGCTGCCGTAGCATCCGTCGTCAGGCACGAATCTTGCACCGTCTACCGTCCAAAGTAGCCGGAGAACCCAGAGTTCAACAACTCCGAGAACAGCACGGCCAAGGCACAGGGTCCCATATAAGATACGTCCACTCCTCTTCCAGCCTGGGGTTCTTTACGGGAATAGGAGGGTGAGTTTAGCCCCTTGTTATTATAATTATTTTGTTTTATCGAAAAATGAAAACACATTGAAGTCAGCCTTTTTATATGTATATATACCGGGTTATAAGAAAAGAAACATGTTTCACGTATTTGGAATGTGCCTGCTCAGCTATACAACACAAATAGCAATACATGCATATTAGTATCCACCTGACTTCTGTGACTTGCCTATATGGGAGCTGCATATTCAGCAATGGTTCGTAGTATAGCAAAAGATATAGACCTATGCCGGTATATACACTGATGGAGATCTGTGGTTTTCTTTGGGGGAAATGGCAGGTATGGCATTTCTCCTCTAAATCTCTTCTGCTTGCTATTGCAAGGGTTTCTCGAAGTGCCTTAAATTACAGGAGTTAGTGATCTAAGAAAGGTGAAAACAGGTGAAGATGCTAAAGCCAGACTACATATCTGAAGTGCGGTAGATCTTATGCTCATCAAAGAATTGTATATTTGAAATGCCAAAGCCTGTTTGAGCGAAGGATTACATTCATCCTTAGTTTGTTGATGTATTCTGTAGCTCATGATCTTCACATTGTGCGTAGGAGGTTTCCTTCGTTAAATGGAAAATATATATTAAATACATACGTGTACATGAATTTTTGTGGGTAAATGAAGGTCGCCTCTATATTGAGAGGTATATATATAGTTATCCGGAAAGAAAATAACACTATAACTTTTCTCTTCCCAAATGAAATGTTTCGGAGTCATATATCGTGCAATAGGCTTGCCAGCCATAACATCACATTTCCCTTTAATTCAGACATGTTTGCAGAAGCTCTATCCCAAACATATGCGAATTAGATGCGTAACCATTTTGGGTCCATCCTTGATATTTCACCTGTACGTCATGATAGCTGCTCTTAATCCACAAATTAATCCAATACTTTTGAATCTACCCCATGTAAAGACATTAATGCGAACACGTTCACGATTAGTCTCACGTCTAATAACTGATGACATCATTCAGCGGTACGTTACCTCAGTGAAACAACTAGGTTGTTTTTCTTTCCCAAAACAAACTTAGACGTAACTTCTCAATAACCCCTTTCCCTAAGAAAAAAATGAACTCGTATATAACTGAAGGCAACAAATCAAAGACAAGAAAAGATGCATAGAAGCAAACAGAGGTTAATAGCTGATTTCGCAAAAGTACTTACATGTACCAAGCAGAGTTTGAAATCTGACAGAGGTCTCCAGTCTTGAGATTAAGATAGCGGTAAAGGTGAAACAAGATAAAATGAAACGCTAACAACTTCACGTTTTTCAGATTTCTTTTACCAGACATGACTTCTCTGTCAGGAATTTGTAAAATAATTAGCTGATACTTTTAAATTATCATTTATTATTAAAAATTATAGTCTTTTTAAATCCATGCGTGGAAATGAATAGGTGGAATAGAAGTGTCGTATACTCAACTAAATGCCAAAAAAGCTAGGGAATGGCCTTTTCTTGATAAAATGCTTACTCTTGCCAGATTGAACTTGAAAATAGAAAGCATTTGCAGATCGCTGTATAAATTACGGTTTTTATAATCAATGTCGCTTTTTCCTAAATATCTGACGCAATCTCTACATTAAACGACGGCAATACTTTTCACATAAAAATAATAAGGATACCAATGTTTATCGATTCATTTCTTTTGTACATAATGTTATAAAAAATCCTGTAGTGAGTTTTAAGCTCTGGTGCACAGATATACAGGTTTTTGTTCATAAATTGAGCTTTGGTTAACAGCGTTCATAATGCCACAGCTAGCAAAAGCCTTGGGTTGGCAAAAGAAGCAGAGATTCAACTCGAAATTCCGCGACACTATAAATGTACAACTTCGCGTATTCCAATAATTTACTAGAACAGTACTCGAAGAGCGCAAACCTCCACCAAGGAAGTTCAATTCTCGTTATTTATTAATCAATCTATGTATCCCCACCAAAATCTGAACAATTGTAAATTGCCCCATTTCTGATTTATCCTGAAAATTTTATCAAAATCCGACCATAACTTTTGTATTACATCATTAACTAACAACCGACAAAGGGAAAAGCGTGCCCTCCTTGGCCTAGGTAATTATTCGGAAAACAATGTTAATATTCTTTGGGAAAAAGTACAGTACAATGTTTTTTTAACAACTGTGATACTTGGTCACAGAACTGAGGCAGTTACAGATGTCTACGGTTAGAAGATAGAAAATGATATGAGATGCAACTGATAAAAGAAGTTTTTGATATCAAGCTTAAGTCAGTTAGTTAATGAACGTGTATGGTCAACATTTTAAGACTTCACGCGTGTAATTGGTGTTATAATGGTACGTCTACTTATTTTTCCTGCCGTCCAACATTTCATTTTTGAACCACTGTTGACCTATGGTAGTAATTTATATCAGTAATGCATACAGACTTTTTTATATTCTCATGGCGCGGTTACTATATTGAGAAATCGGTAGGTATAAAACATCTTTGGAACGCATATTACTCTGGCAAATAAAGTATATACATGTATTACAAACTAAATCATTTAAATAGAAATAACTGTAAAAACTCACTCTCTGAATGCTTCATCTATTGTCACGCCTGGATACAACAGGAATGGCACCGTTACTATATCTCAAAATGTATTGCTGTTAATTTACTACAAAATAACAACAACAGAGTTATAGTTACAATTTCCAAGATTAGGAAACCCATCTCATGTCAAGAATAGCAACATCTAATGGCCGCTAGATGGCAGCACGAGAACGTTAGAACAATTATAATTCTGCCTCTTTTCGGAACTTGACTTTTGTTCAGTAGCGAATCGGGGGTAATATAAAGGACATTCATCAAACACACTTGTATCCTTTTATTTGCTATGAAACCATTGGTCCACCTGTAATGCTTGAAAATTGATTAAAATTTCTAAAGCATTTAATTTTAAAAATATTATGGGTATAACAATCATAAGAAGCTCATGTCACGGTGGCCTTGGTAATTTTAGTGGTGAAAGGCTGATGTCCTTGTTGACAAGTCGGATTGTTGACTGGGATTTCTTTTGAGTATTTCATTCGGCATGTTATCGACCAGTAAATTCTACAAAGTTGTCGTTTATACATGTAATGATGTTGAATAATTATGTCAAAGATAAATATTGTACGCATGTTTATCAATTTTTTATTAAGAATTGCTGTCTTCCTTAGTGCACCTTTTTACACGTAAAGTACATGCAACATTTTCACCAAATACTTATTCTTGTTTGCATTCCTGATACAACTCCAGTGTTATGCTGATTATAATTTTGCAGTATTGTAGTTATTAGTTCTTATTATAATCAACTAGATTTTTTTTGTAAATTATTTTTATCTAGTAGAAAACAGTTTCTTTCTTTTAAAAGATTGCACCTGTTTTATCACACAGTAGTACGTAAAACAAGTTTGCACTTGTCATTTATTATAGCGACCTTTGGGCGAAATATGAATGGTCGGATGATATTTCGGCAATTGTGAAAACATGTATCACGGGATCGTAATCCCGCTGAGTTGGTAATTAATGGCATGGCATATACTTCAGGTACAGCACAAATGCATGTGCACCGTAAATGTATAAACAGCAAAATAGGCTCACACTGACTGCTGCCAGACAGCCGACTGCAGACGGAGCTCGGATATCCTACCAGTGTTAAAAGTAAGTTGGAACTCTCTCACCTGGTTCTGGCTGCCCTGATAGCACTTACCTATGCTATGTAAGCGTATGGTCTGCGTTGCTTGCAGATGGTCAACCTACATGTGTATTGCGGAACGCTTAGCTTATACATAAACCCCTCTGCATTGCCCCTGTGTTGTTCGCTTAACACGAATCAGACAAGAACACTTGAGCTAAAAGCTACTGAAGATACCGCCTCATCTGCTGCAGTGTGTTGCACCACTCGTGTTTGGATTGAATGTGTTTTTTAGCTTAAGGTGAACAAATGGCTCTACTTTACCACTTTCTTTAACCACCTGGTTAAAGCTTGCCAACTTTCATAAACTTACCATGAAATGAAAAAGCGAAAAAAATAAAGAATCAACCCTATCTTGCCGAGTGTTTTCGCTCCAGGTAAACAAGTGACCTGCACTAGACCCCTGCCCAACTAGATTTCTTTGATGCGCGGTGTAAATCTCCACTCGACAGGCTACCTGAAGGCCGTGCGTATTAACAACACATCATTTTCCAGGGAATGTTTTTTACTTGGACGGTTAAGTGGCTTCCTGCTAGGCGAGGTTTACTCGGAATGGTGAACTTAGTGTTTCGTTTTTCATTTAAATGCTCAAAAAAGGCTTGGGAATGGGTTCTTCTTGTAGAATTGTATTACACTTTGGAAAGGCACACATACATATTTCGCCTGAGAAAGAATTGAGTTAAGGTGAGCAGTATGTGAACAACTGAAAAGATAACAAATATTAGGTCTAAATGTCAGTGTTTCACCGTCTGTTTCCAATTTTCGATAGCTAGTTTCTGCCAATACGCTTTCTAGGACAGTCAAGGCCATCTCCACCCTCTCTAACCCCTATCCTGATTTGCTTTTTCTTTCTTTCTTTCTTTTTTTCTTTTCTTTTTTTTCCATATGATTTCGTTGCGTCAAAATTATATATTGGTGTTTTATTTCTTAACACCACGTCACGAGAAGATAACCCTTCACCCGTGCACATTAAGAAAATCATATTGTTTGTTTTTTTATAAATCACCATCTTCTTTTGCCTACGTGACAGAGTGTGCAGCATTCCAAGTTTATCCTCAGCTTAACGAGTTAATTTTGACAGAAAAACGTTTTTTTTTTTGTCCCGATTATTATTATGACTGAAGACGTGTATAAGAAAATTAAACACCGTAATGTGAAGCACGTGCTTGTGTAACCTTTTAATACCTGGCGATATGTTTACGAGTACTTAATAAACAAATGAGGGATTATTTAGATTTCCGATGAGACAGGTACACAGCCAAAACGGGCAGAATTGATCAATTATCTGAAATATGATACCGGTCAATCCTTAGGAGAATCAATAAACAAGCGGAAAGAAATAGATCTTGTTTAAAGAGTGAAGCCTCACTCTTGTAAAACACGACCCTCTAGGAACCCTTGGCTATCATACAAAGATATATATTGACTTAGAATCTCGTTTCCTAGCTCCAAGTAATCATATAAATCAAAGAAAGTAGTAAAAAGAACTTGAGTACATAAACCTGCTTCTCAGCTGTATCGAGTTAGAGGGTTTCCTTGAAAATCGCTGGGAAATAGTTCACGGGTCAACGCAAGAAGGCAGGTAGAATTGTCAATTAAAACTGTGATGTGGCATGCTTAGAATTCACTTCTCTCATCTGCCTTTTTAAATTGCACTTTGAGTGTTTCTGAATGGTTATTTGGTTGTTTTTGTATTGAATCCCTCTCCCTTTATTGGACCTGGACTGGCTAACCCTTGTGTACATACGCACGTCATTTGTACCCCCTTAACACTAACGTTAACCTCCACGCGTTCATACGTAGACATTGCATAAACATTAAATCACCCTCAGGGTCACTTCAACGCCATCTGTGGCATTGATGGATACGAACCATCTTTTCTGAGAGACGTGTTGTTATCTCTTTATCATTGATTGTTCAGTTAAAGTAAAGTTAAAGCTATGAATTACGTGCCTAAAGGTACCCTGGCATTTGTAGGGCTCACCTTTAATAGTGAGTTAAATGGTAAAATGTTTGGACCTTTGCACTCATTAGCCGTTCAAAGGCTGTGCACTGAAAGCTATCGTGTCTAAACATATATTAGGCGCTCACTATTTTTTTCTCTTTAGTGTCATCATTCAACTTCTTTTTGCACAGTTGATGTGTTTTTCCTCTGCCGTGAACATTTCTGTGTTTTTAAACAGCAGTGAATCTTGGGGATTTTGCATGTTTTCGCGTGATGCTAATTCGTTACATTTGAAAACACTAATTTAAACCAACTGCATTTTGAATCTTAATGCGAAAAAAATAACATGGTGGTTTTGAGTAAATATTCAGACTTTAAGTTTGTTACGTCAAAGGGCAGAACCAATGCTAGGGAGTGCCAGTTTCGGAAAGAGATGAATCACAACAGTCGACAGATATGACCATATAGGTGGAAGATATCTCATTTAAACGGTTTCTTTGGTAAACCTATTTCCAAATGTTACGTTTTTTCTGATGTACCGACAAAAATGGACCAATCGACGACTGATTTGATCGGACCAGCAGCCGATAACTTCATTAGCAAGAGATAGAAGTAGTGGAGAATAAATCAGGAAAACGCGTCTGGAAAAGTGCTTTTGCTGATAACGCTCCTTCACCCACGTAGCCAAACGTACTCCAACCGCCAAGACTATCACTCGGCTTTCTCGTACGCCGAAAGAGGTTATGTTTTCACCTTTGCCTCTGGACGGAGATGGCACTGATCAGTGTGCCACGATCGATGTTGATAAACCACCGGTGGTTCCTCTTAACTTCACGGTTTACCTGTAGTGATTAAGCACATGATAAGAGTCAGAGTCGCACGCTGATGTATTACCTTCGTGAGACTGCCACCAACTACGGTAATACATGACAGCCACTTGGGCTTCCCCAAACTACTGACACACAGAGCGGAAATTAGTGGTGGCTCAGTGGTGGCTACTTCCATGGAATTTTTTTTCTTTAATCATTGGGGGATTTAGGTAAGGCATTGCGATCCTGGCTATTTACCGAAAGCGTTTTCGTTCACCTGCGGAGCTGGGCACCCCTGTAGTTGTTCTGGCTCCTGGGCCGCGGAATTTTGACCGGTCGCCCTGATACGTGCACCAACAAAGGAGAGGTATATAAGGAAAATTAGTTATCAATATAAACAAACAGCGTGGCCAGGAACTGTGAACCGAATCTATGATGTACCAAAAGGGAACCCACCCAGAGGGACACACTAGGTATAAAAGATAAAGGAGACAGCTTTATACCGAAGTTTCATGCCAGAGGAAAGACGAAGTGGTCCGTGCTCCGGATGGTGACATGGCCTTTCTGAAGTTTATTTTTCACGGGTGTGTACAAGGTTAAAACAGTTTCCACGGTAAAGGTATGCGTGTGTGTCAATGTAGGACTCTTGTTCATAATTTCTAGAGCGTCTTATTGTTTTTTTTTGTTTGTTTGTTTATCTAATATTACCAGTGGCATGTGAATACAAGTTAACCATCTGCTTGTAGTAAATTCGTTTTCTAGGAAAAGTAGTGTAGCCGGTAAAATCTGAAATATTTGCACCAAGATTAAAATTTCAGTTAGGAAAATTCTGATACTTTATTTCCTACTAGTGATTTGATAAGATAAGTGCACTCAAGAAGTAATTACGAAAAAAATTATTCTAAAGATGTGACATATCCGCCCTTTTTCCTTTTCCTTATATTTTCCTGCGAAATTAAGTGCCAGAGGACCTAAGCATTTCTAAGAAACTTAACGTAGGCCGTGATTACCAGGAGTTAAAATCTATAACGAAAAAAAGTTCATTTATAACAAGATTCGACTTTTTCTCATCGTTGAGATTCGCAATTTTTCAAAACTTGAAGGGTTTACGTCTTTATAGGTATAAAATAAATTACCCCGCCCTGGCAATTAATAAACTAACGAGTTCATTTTGAGTTGTTTCAAAATAAAGTCTGTTAATCATCAATTGAGTTTGGAGCAAAGACAGAGCAGGGTCTAGCCGAAGCTTACATAACTTCCCATAAAAGTAGTTTTTCCGCCAAGTTACAGATTTCAGGATGCGTTCACCCTCTAGACAGTGGAGCAGGTTAATTGATGGTTTGGCAACCATTAAGTTAGGAAAAGAAGCATTGACATTTAGCATGGGATCAGTCGTAGTTCTCCCCAGTATGATTATATCTATCATACGTTTAAGGTTTGACAACTCGGTTCATTTAAAAGACTGAAACCTACCTGGAGATATAATCATCTCCAGATCCTGTCTGTTCCTCAGGCGGATACCTGCAGTACCTTGTGGTAAAGTGCTGAGCATTGACGTTAAAAGTGTGAACAATCTGAGCGTTTGCTTAGTGAATGACTTGTAAAGTCTTTTGGATATAGGCACAACCGCCAAGCAACTACAGAGGTAAGAATTAAGTGGGTTCATGTTATCCGCGTTCAAAAAATCAATGGAAGCTGTAATAAGATAACAATAACAGTGCGTTTTATACACGTATGTCTTTTTTGCGAATATTTTCACTTGTCGGTGGCATTAAAGTTCGGCATAGATAAATTTACAGAGCTTATATTTACTTCTTTAAATGTGATGTTTGATTTTTACGCTTATAATAGAACATGATAGAACTTATAATGTAATATAATAGAAATTTTGTTAGTTTTTACAAAACAAAACAAAACTTCCAGTTCTGCGAATTTTTTAAAGAACTAACGTCAGCACCTTTTTTTTGTCAGTTTCTTCCATGCCACGGCATACTGCTGTTTGACAATGGAGATGTTGACGTTCGGTTAGCAATGCATGTGCACCGTCATGACTCTTTTTTTTTGACATTTTCCCAGATATGTTACGTATAATTCGATAAGGTTTTCACCTGGATTCGCTGTAGGTCGCTGTAGGTCATACTGAGAAAATTATGCATTTATTTTAAAGAGATTAAGAAGAAAATGGCCAGAAAGGAGCTGTTGTCTTGGGTGTAAATGTAGCATTTTAATATACACACTTAGTTTTCCCCTGTGGAGCGCGAGCCCAACAGGTGCGCCGGTCATCACTAATGAGGAGGTTAATTAAGGAGCTCCACGCCTTTCGCACCGTATCTTGCCTAGCAGTGTCATAAATGTATACCTTCACTGCCCAGGTGCTAACTAAAGAAGCAAATCTATAAATATTAGTTTCATCTAACACACACATTCGTCATCACGCGTCTCTTTTTCTTTC